GCCCTGCTTTGTATGTGTGTAGCGTGGGGGTGGGAGGATGAATGGGGCAGATGGAAGAGTAAGGGGATGGAGTGAGGTGGGAAGAAGAAAACCATCTTAGAGGAAGTCATGGCCCATCTGAGGAGGGTGGGAAGGAGCTCAATGAATATGCAGGCCCACCCAGTGCTCAGCCTTGGGGAGCTGGAGCGAGATTGTCACCCCACAGCCAGGTTTTGCTGCACTTGGAATCCTTGATCCCAGACAAAGGTCCCACTTCCCCCTCTTGCAGATGATTCTGGGAGGCAGATACTTGAAGGAAAAACACACCCTCTTTGTAAGGATGCAAAGATTTTCTTGAATGGAAAGATGATAAGGTGGGATAGTTTGAATAACCCGTTAAAAAATTATCTCTCCCTTAGCCTTTCCCTTCTTCAAACAGCCAGGACTCCTGTCCTCCATGCCGCAAGGAAAGGATGGCATACAAGAAAGGGTAGAAGGCAGAGACTCCTCTGGCTTTGGAGTGTCACAAGCTTGATTCCTTATGGGTGCCATGGAGGAGTTAGGGTGCAGAGAATGGTTTGGGGGGACACAGTTGAGAAACAACAAAGATTCCCAGTCTGATGCCCTGAGCTGTCAGAGAAAGGAATCAGCTCTTTGTCTCTCTCCCTCACTGAACTACAGAGAAACAGAAGCAAGTCCCCCAAATGGTCTGTGGGATCTTGGAGCCCAGGGAACATGAATCTGTGTGGTAGGACAAGCCCTGGAAAGATGGCAAGACCGTAGAGACACATGTGTCTAGTTGCCACTATCCTTATTGTCTAGCCCAGTGAAGATGTTCAAACAATAATCGCTGCATGAAAGAATGCATATGGTGGGAGCACTGCAAAAACACTCTACACTGGAAGACCTACACCAGCAGCAGAGAAAATAATGAGGGTCCTGAGATCCTGGCTCTGGAGAAGGCTGAGGTATCTGCACAGCTGGCAGCTCCAGATATATCTGCTTCTCAGATATAGCCCAGGGTTCTGATTTGGGCAGCTATGTTTTAGGGGTCTTGCTCCTGGGCCCTGTGCCTGGGGCATGTCCCCTCCAGCTTTGCTCCCTGCCTGGGGCACCTGGCCCTGGTTCTTTGGACTCTATATAGGATGTTAGGAAGGTAACCATGTGGCTTCTCAGACTGAGCCCTTGTTGGAGCTGTGCCATACTACTTCACAGCTGAGATGTGAAGCAGTGCAGCAGCGTTCCCCATCATCACCTCTCTCCTGTGTTAAATTGCCCGGAGGTGTTCCTAGAACACCAGTGAATTAGTTGTTGGGCCAAGAGAGCATCTTTTATCATAGTTTGTGTCAGGCCGACCCCCTGGAATGTGATGAGGTCTTTGGGTGCTGGCAGCACCAATTTTTATCCATTATTTTTTCTGATTACAGATGATTCTCTTCCACATTGGAGTCAGACAGAGGGGGTCAGACAGAGGGCTTGAGCCCACCACATGAAAATGAATACCAGTGGTTTTGTTGGGTCTGGGATGGCCTTTCTTTCATTAATACAATGTATTCTGCATATATGCACATTACCTGGAAACTCTGAGAATGGCAACATTCAGAGGGGTTTGGATTGATTGTTTAATTAAACCAAAGATATCAGAAAGCTATAGTCAGACTGGGGCAGGGATTGAAGACCCATTGTCTGAACTGTTCTGGGCTGACTTAAAATCCTGGTCCTGCCCCAGGGAATATTTGTATATTTGATGAGCCTTGGGTATCTCACCTTTAAAGAGGGTAACTGTCTTGACCTCTCATATCAGTGTTGTGAGAATTGAAGGTCATGATAATTGTGGTAACTGCTGGGCATTTTGTAAGCTGGGTCCTGGGCTCAACCACTCAAGGCAGTGGTTTTTCACGTGGGCACTGGGCATTGGGCAATGTCTGGAGACATTTTTGGTTGACATTATGGGAGTAGTGCATAGGACAGCCCTACCACAAAACAATCTGGTCCCAAACGTCAATTGAGAAGTGGTTGGTTATAAATAAGGGGGCACAGGAACATGCTTTTTCCACAAGGGTGAATTAAAAAAAAATATTTTTGTGTGTGTGTTATAGCACTTTGTTTTTATAGTTAATATGTTCACATGGTCCAAGATCTACAAGGTACACAGGGCATACAATCTGAAGTCTCCTCCCACCCAGCCCCTTCCCTGGAGGAACCAGTTTATTTATCCAGAGGTCCTCTGTGCATCTAGAAGCAATTGTATGTGCATATACCCACCTATGTATTATATACATGCTACACATATTCTTTTATCTTTTTGTTGCTTAATCTATCTTGGGGATAGCTTCTAATTGGGCACTAAGACCTTCCTCATTTTTCCTTTTAAAGGTGACAGAGTATGCCATTCTGTGGGTATATTTTATTTAGCCATGTCTATCTGGATATTATCTTTTGTGGCTACAGACACTAATGTAATGAATAACTGTAAATATTTGGTTTTCCAATGTGCAGATCTCTATCTCTATCTCTATCTACTAGTATATCTCTATATCTCTATCATAATAAAAGTGTAATATACTAATTAGACTAGACGTCCTTCTGGATGAAGCCAGGTCTGTGAGAGAAGCCCGGGTCCTGGATGCCAGAGGGAAGCCAGTGCTGGCAGCTAGGAGAAGGCAATCCTACTCTTGCATGAATTTTGTGCATTGGGCCTCTAGTATAATAATAAAAGCATAATATGCTAATTAGACCAGACAGCCAAACGACCTTCCAGATGTCCTTCCAGATGACCTTCTGGATGAAGCTGGGGCTGCTAGGGCCAAGGCAGCTGCTGCGATTGCAAAGGCTGAGCCTCTTGCATGAATTTTGTGCATAAGGCCTCTAGGATATATATACACTGAGTGGCCAGATTATTATAATCTCTGAACGCATAATAATCTGGCCACTCAGTGTGTGTGTGTGTATATATATATATATATATATATATATATGATGGATAAAGTCCTACAAGTGCTGTTGCCAAATAAGAAATTCCCTGGGTTCATGATTGTGTTGGAAGTTGCCAAATTACCCTCCACTGGAACTGTTCTGTTTCCATTCCCCACTTGCAGGGAACATAGAAGAGGAGTTCGGTAATTTTGTAATTTTAAAAATTTGCTCTCACTGTTTGTATCTTCTCATCAAAGTCCTCTGGGAATAAATAAGTTGTGGGCGAACCTTATAATATTTTGTGCCCACCATATTCTCAATGTCCAGGGACTCCCCCTCCCCAATCTGTCCGCGGGAGATCTTGTTAAGTGCAATGAAGTGAAAGCCGCCAAGAAGCAGCATTTGCTTTCTCTAGAAAAGGGCTATTTAATTCCCGATTCCTGGTGCTAATAGTTCCCAAATGATGAGCCTCTTGAAGAGTTTACATGTAGGAAAATCTCTCTCAGCAAATCTCCTTCTGAGTGGATGTTCAGCTTTATCTTTTAAGTTTCTGATTTGAGGGCTCCTTTGAGAGTCTGATGGGAGAGATAAAACCCTCTCCCCCAAAAATGGCGCTAGCAGTTTGCATGACATTCAGAGGTTCCTTGAGCTGTCCTTGGGCTCCCAGGGAATGGCTCTCAGGATAGAGAGGAGGCTCTTGCTGCCAGACACCTCTCCCTACCTCAGGAGAGAGATCTGTGGATTCATAGCTCAGAATTGGGCAGAACCAGTGTTGTGTGGCACCCTGGGTCCAGGCTTGGCTCCTTCCTTTCCCACTTCCAGCCAGTGACTGTAGCTTTAGTTTTCTCATCTATGGAATGGGACAATACTGCTTTGCAATATTATATTGGAGATAAAAAGGGAAAGCACCTCAGTGCCCAACATCAAGCCCATGTTGGAGAAACGGGAGTTATTGTTATTCTTATTATAATGGAGTCCTTTGCAATGTGGATTCTGGAACAATCACATTCCTTCTCACAGAGATCCCACACATGTTGTTCCCTCTGCTGGAACACTTTTCCTTCCTCCTGTTGCTTGAGGTGTCTTTCCCTTGCAGCTCAACAGCCCCATCTCAGAGACTTTTCTGCCTCTCTAATTACAAATCCACTCACCCTGGCCGTCTTCTCCTGGAGAAACTCTGCTCTTCCTTCCTGGTGCCTTTCCAAGTTGTAATGAGATCTATTAGAGTGTGTGCTAGTCTGATGTCTGTCTGCCCCAGTGGACTAGAGGCTCCTGATGAGCTGAGGAGACCAGCACAAGGTGAGGATCCTGCGGCAGGTGGGGCTGAGTAGAGGCACAGGTAGGAGGCCTTTGTGATATGCACGGAAGCACTCGAGGGGAAGAGAGATGAGAAAGGCCAGGAGAGACCAGGGGCCAGGCTGTGGGGACTTTCTGGGCTACAGAAAGGCAACATTTGTATTTTCTTGAAGATCATTGGTGTCCCCTTTACTCACCAACATTAAGCAGGGAAGTTGCCTGATCTAATTGAATTCTGTAAACTTTAAGATTTTATTATTTTTATAAAATTTGATTATTGATTTACTTTTAAAAATAATATTTTTATTAATTTTAGAGAGGAAGGGAGAGGGAGAGAGAGCTAGAAACATCAAAGATGAGAGAGCATCATTGATTGGCTGACTCCTGCATGTTTCCTACTGGGGATCCATCCTGCAACCCGGGCATGTGCCCTTGATTGGAACTGAACCCAGGACCCTGCAATCTGCAGGCTGATGCTCTATCCAATGAGCCAAACTAGCTAGGGCTATTGACTTACTTTTTAAAAAGATCACCAGCCACTGTGTGAAAGTCAGGGTGGAGGGTAAAGTGAACCTGGGAGTGCAGAGGTTCCTTAGGAGGCTACAGTCCTAGTTCTGATCCTGCCTGTAGGTCAGGGTTCTGTAGCCCACAGGGTTCTAGAAACAGCCCTGAGATTCCAGACTTTTTAAAGTTTGTACTTCTTCCAGGGAGTGAGCCCAAGTTGCATGAGCTGCCTCATCTCCCCAGAGCTGAGCCAGATGCCGGACCTTCCACTAGCATTTGCAGACTGGCTGCAGAGAGGATCTTACCTGAGATTGTGGTGAAGTGGGATGGGGAGGTCATTGTCACGAAGGGTGGGATGAGGTACTTGGCCTTGACTCCCTCCCGGGCCAGGCGGTCCATGTTGGGGGTGTCCACATCCTGGTCATAGTTCCAGCGGAAGCCATCAAACGAGATGAGCAGCAGCTTGTTGAAGCTCTTCCTCTCAGAGATGGGGTGGCTGCTGGCCCAATCCAGTAGGATGGGCAGCAGCAGCCCGAGGACTCTGAGCCCTGTCATACTGTGAGCACCTTATACTCACACATAGCAGAGTTCCTGGGCCCGCTCCCATTTTCTACCTTTTTTATCTGCAGTTGAACAAAGTCCACATTGATAATTCTGCCCCAGCTTTGCTGAGGATCAAAATGCCTGGAGTGTGGCACATGTTCCATGATGAAAAACTTCTGGAAATGCATAGAGGTGATGTTTGCACAACATCATGGACACACTTAGTGCCACTGAATTGTACACTTTAAAATGGTAAAAATGGTAAATTTTATGTTGTATGCTTTTATCCCGATAAGAAAAGTCAAATGGTCCTAACTGGTTTGGCTCAGTGGATAGAGCATCGGCCTGCAAACTGAAGGGTCCCAGGTTCGATTCTGGTCAAGGGCATGTACCTGGGTTGTGGGCACATCCCCAGTAGGGGGTGTGCAGGACGCAGCTGATCGATGTTTCTAACTCTCTATCCTTCTCTCGTTCTCTCTGTAGAAAACAACAACACCACACACACAAACAAAAACACAACAATAAAATAAAATAAATTTAAGAAAAGTCAAATGGTGTGAAATATTTTGGACTCTCATATTAATTCCTATGCTGTGGTACAGGAGAACAAATTAAATTGGTGCTTTCTTTTGCTCAGTAGATCCTATTTTTAAAAATATATATATTTTCTTGATTTTTCACAGAGAGGAAGAGAGAGATAGAGTTAGAAACATGGATGAGAGAGAATCATCAATCAGCTGCCTCTTGCACACCCCCTACTGGGGATGTGCCTGCAACCAAGGTACATGCCCCTGCCCGGAATCGAACCCGGGACCTTTCAGTCTGCAGGCCGACGCTCTATCCACTGAGCCAAACCGGTCCCGGCAGTAGATCCTATTTTGATAGGGAAGATAAATGATCATTCCTTAGATTATGAAAACAGCCAGCATTGTCATAAGTGTCCGTTTCATTATTATTTTTTAAATCTTAGGAAGGTTATTAGTTGAAAATTCCCTATAAGAATTAAAAAATCATTGTGGTAAAATACACATAGGATAAAATTTACCATTTTAATTATTTGCAAGTATACAAATTTATTGATATCTGTATATTCAGTGTTGTGCAATCATCACCACTATCTAGTTCTAGAATATTCTCATCATCCCAAAAAGAGACCCTATCTATACCCATTAGCAGGCATTCCTCATTGCTCTCTCCTGTAAGTCCCCAACAACCACTAAACTGCTTTCTATCTGTTCAGATTTACCTGTTCTGGACATTTCATGTAAGTGGACTTATACAATAAAGTGGTCTTTTGTGACTGGCTTCTTCCACTGAGCATAATGCTCTCCAGGCTCATCCACACAGTAGCATGAATCAATGCTTCATTTTTTTTTTATGGCTGAGTAATATTCCACGGTATAGATATTTTACATTTTATATATCTGTTCACCAGCTGATGGACATTTGGGTTGTCCTAACTTTGGCTATTGTGAGAAGTGCTGCTGTGAACATTAGTGTATAAGCTTTGGTTTGAATAATCCTGCTTTCCATTTATTTTTTTACAATGCATAGGGTTTTTTTTTTTTTTTTTTTTTAATAAACAGTTCATAGAAGCTTTGGGACCACTCCAAGGTCACATAGCACAAATGAGGCCAGAACTATAGTTTCAATAGTTGGCTACATGTTTGCTGGGCACAGGGGGTTTAAATTCCCCAAGAGAACACGTATAAGCATGTTCCCATCCACTCCACATTTATTGTGCAGGAGACACAGAGGCATAGATACAGGGGTTGCCTGTATATCTCAGAGTCCAGGAGACAAAGAAAGGGTTACATGCAGTGGAAGGGCCCTGCTGGAGGTTCATGTGGGAAGTGATGCAGGAGCAGATCCTAACCCTGAGAAGCTGGGCAGTGGAGGGCTTTCTGGAGAAGCTGGTGCTAGACTTGAGTTTTGCCCGCTGGGAGAAGTTTGCCTCTTGGAAGCATATTCACTCAGCTACTTATTTGGATATGACCACAGTCTTTCCCCCTGCCTCTGGCCTTTTCCTGTGGGTGCATGGGTGATACTTACCTTTGCACTTTTCTTTTTTTAAAACACATTTTATTGATTTTTCACAGAGAGGAAGGGAGAGAGATAGTTAGAAACATCGATGAGAGAGAAACATTGATCAGCTTCTTCCTGCACACCCCCTACTGGGGATGGGCCTGCAACCAGGGTACATACCCTTGACTGGAATAGAACTTGGGACCTTTCAGTCCATAGGCTGACGATCTATCCACTGAGCCAAATCAGTTAGAGCCTACCTTTGCAGTTTTCGAAAGTTCTGCAAACTTTTCAGTTGTATAACAGTCGGCTGGGTTTTCAGGTTTTTGTAAGGTTTTTATAGGCTTTTGTAAGGTATTTGTCTTGACATGGTGGGATTGGGATGAAGGCTGGATGTCAGACTCAGATGAGATCAAACATTTCTCTTTTGCAAAATGGCATGAGAATTCTGTTCCAGGCACTTGCTTAGGTTGAATCTTTGGGGTGAAGAGGTGGCATGTCAGGGGAGCTCCATTTTGTATTTGCATAATTTGGGTTGTTAGCACAATGTTTTGCTATAATTAATTAGCATGGTGTTTTGCTATATGAGGAATTTTTGTAGGATTTTGTGATGAGTATGCAGCATCATGGTTGGGGAGTGTTTTGAAGCATGCCAGGCCTGGGTTTACAGCTCAGCTCTGCCACTTACTTTCTATCACACCTGGGGCAAGTCCCACAACCTCTCGATGCCTCTGTTTCCTTCTCTGTAAGAAGGAATGCCGATGTGTTTCCTGAGGTTGGGAGGCTCCTATTAGATCATGCATGTTGGCAGGAACACTTACTGCTCATGGGATATCCATGTGCTCCCCTTCATCTTCCAGACCCCTTGTAATTTATGGCCAATGTGCTATGAGTAGAAAACCTATTGGTGACATCTTTATACAGCTTCTAGCTCAAAGCTCTCAAAGGTTGGTGCATAACCACTCCACTTTCTCTGCAGTAACTATGGAAGCTTTATGTTGAGATGAAGAATTTCTATCATTTTAGGTCTCTGAGTAACCATATAGAGAGCACAGTCTGCAACCAGCCCATGGTGGGCATGGAATGTGAGAAGTCAACCTCTGTTGCCACGACACTGATATTTTGAGGTTAATTTGTTACTGTGGCATAACCTAGTCTATCCTCACTATTGTAGCATGTTAAGTACTTACATTGATCCCTAGTACTAGAATTGACCAAAAGATGTTAATTACTATTATTATTATTTTTTAAATTTAAATTATTTATTGTTTAAAGTGTTACTGTTAGTTACTTTTAGTATGATGATAAATTACTACTGATAGTTTCATTATCTGATCTGATAAGGTCAATGATGGACAAATTTGACTTGACACTCCTTCCAGCATGTGGGAGGGACAGACGATTAAAGACCAATAAATAACATCATTATCTTCAGTTTGGGTCCCTAGATGCCCTTGGTGACAATGAACAGCTGATGCTGCTCTGAGACAGCCAGGCCCAGGAGAGAGTTGCTCTTGATACCAGAATTGAGATTGTCCAAGGCCAAGCCCTCTTTGGTCTGGAGAGAACTTTGGGTCCCTGGTGGAGGGACCCAAATTCTCTGAAGGAAAATGAATACTTGTACTAAATTATTTGACTCTTTGTGAAGAATATATTAATCAGTTAGGCCCTTTTAGTGATAATTCACACACATCTCTATATTCTGGAAATACAGAAAAAAAAGCCAGCAGTCATGCAGCAATGCACTAAGTCCACTGAAACTTCCCTAAAGTTTAATGTTTGGTGTAACCAGCAAAGCTTAGTGGAGGTGGGTGTCTAGAGAGAATTCTGATTATAGTCACTTATGGTCACAGTTCTGTGGTGTGTCTTGATTTCTCTTTGGTGAATTCTGGTTTGAAGGCATAAATCCATTACTTGCTTAGCAAATATTTCTTTTCTTTTTAACAAAATATATATTTCATTGATTTTTTTACAGAGAGGAAGGGAGAGGGAGAGAGAGTTAGAAACATCGATGAGAGAGAAACATCGATCAGCTGCCTCCTGAACACCCCTCACTGGGGATGTGCCCACAATCAAGGTACATGTCCTTGACTGGAATAGAACCTGGGACTTTTCTGTCTTCAGTCCGATGCTCTATCCACTGAGCCAAAACTGTTTCAGCAGCAAATATTTCTTGAGCACTTCGGAGAGCTCAGAGGATAAAATATGGGGGAGAGTAAATTTCTTCTGCCAGTGTGTTTTCAAGCTGTCTTAGGACTCACCTGTGGGACATGCAGGCTTGAGAGTCCCAGAGTTCCAAAAGCATCTCCCAACAGTGCCACCATGAAGTAGACTCTTCCCTACTACAGTAGAGTTGTCTCTGACTCTGACCTTCTTTTTGCATGACTGACATATCAGTCATGGGGAACTGTTATAAAAGTGCAACAAATTTGTGAAATTCAAGATTGATCAAAGAATACCATTCAATTTTGTTAATAAACCTACATATTTCACTGGTATGGAGGTGGGGCAATTCCACAAACATTTCAGGAATCATCCCAGATGGAGGTAATAGAACTCTTGGCTGCATCTTACTAGTGTAGGTAAAAAAAAGGGACCAGGCTCTAGTCTGGTTTACCCTGAAACAAAGATGGGCATGCAAGTGCTTTATTTGGGGGATGATCCCAGGGAGCACCAACAGGGGAGTGGGGAAGTGATTCAAGGAAGGGAAGTAGGCCAAAACGAGGTGCTTCAGTCTTGGGTGGAACTAGGATGAGTACCAACATACTATGGGCAGGGCATTTGAAATCATTTTTCAGGGAGAACAAAGATGGCGGCCTAGGTAAGCACCT